ATCACCTGGCGTGTGTGAGACGCCTGGTGGCAGTCGAATTTTTAGCAGCATTTTTTCCGAAATTTTTCAAAAAATTCAAGTTTTCTAATTTTTTCGAGCTGCGAAAAATGCAATAAACAATGCTTTTATTGCGTGCCGAGTTTACTCGTAAAAAAGTTGAAAAATTGCCGGCATCTCTCATACTGCGCGCGAGATTTCTGGTAAGAAAAATTCGGCATAAAAAAACGATCGCGATAATCGCTATCGTCGAGTATCATCTTTTTCGGTATCAATTCTTTTCTCCCAATAATTTTTTTTATTTCAAGAAAAAGATAGATTTTAGCCCGATTTTGAAGCGAGATATCGCAATTTATTATTACATTCAGCGAAGTCTCATTATACTCTGCGAGAAATCGCCTTGTTACACGCGAGAACTAACAGCGACGAAAATTTTCAAAATTAATTACGCTAATACAAATTGCGCTAATTGTACAATTTTTGTTTCTTGCGTAACAATTTCATTTAGGTATTGTCGTAAATGCATTTTTTGATGAAATTTCGAGAATATTTTTAGTTATAAATAAAAGAATTTACGCATTCGACATCGTGTCGTAAATTGCCGAATTTTTGATGGTCCACCCATTATTTTTTTTTATTGCTTCATATCATGCCCAGAAAACATTTGTATCTAAACTATCGGCAAAGAATTTTGATGGTTTCTATGATATTTTGAGCGATGTCAATTTTTATATTAGGTGATCGATTTAAGCCTAACACACGACTATATCACATTAAAAATTAAAAATAAAATTAATATGTAAAGATCTAACAAAACTATCTGTTAAATCTTAAAAAATACATTCTTATGAGTAAAATGAAATAAAAACTTTGTCAGTTGGTCGATTTACAACTTAGAAAGAAGCGTTTTGAAATAGAATCATAAAACAATTAATGTTTATTGACTTTCGCGGTAGGGGGTAACGCTGGGTCTGTTGACAAATTTTCTCGCAGTAGTGCGAAATTTCTACTAACTTCACTCGAAAGTATCATATTTCTTCCCCATTTACAAACAAACCCGATGGTAGTAGGTGAAACACGAGATAAATTACAGCAAGTTGAAATTTGATGTTTATTTTTTGCATTTTTCGTATCAAATTACATTAAATTCGACGCAAATAAAGTATTTGTGTCAATATAAAAATATTTTACACTGTTTAAAAGTAGAGAAAATAAAGAAAACAAAGATGTAATAACAATTTTTGAAGCGAAGTCGAGAATTTTACAATTTTAGGGAAAAAATGGAGTCTGTGAAACGCTACATGACCAAAGTCTGGTCGGAAAATCACGCGATCTAGGAAGGGTAGCCTTATTCCCCTAATACACAAACCTCCCGCAAAATTTTAGTAATTTTCGACAAAACACACGGGAGTTATTAAGCTTTAAAGAGGATGAACAAAAGCCCCCCACATACTAACATCTATACGGAAATTATCTCCGAATTTTTTTGTACTTCATGAAGTTTCAAGGTACCCTGAGTCCAAAAATATAAAAATCTTGGGGGGATCATTTTTTGGCCGATCGCCATACTTTCTCTCTGTTATATATAACGGAGACATATTTACTACATCGAACAAGTATAGTTTTTTTTTCATTTCTGAATGGTATTTTCTTAAGTCTGATAAGTGCCGACCAGTAGCCAAGTGATAGAAACCACCCAAACACTAGCAGTTGGTCGTGGGTTCGCGCAATCAAATTAATTCTAATAATTTTTCGATAAACTCGCTATTTACGAGGACATACTTCTCACTTAGTTTATCCTCTCCCACGACTGCCAGTGCATTTTGTGTGAAATATAAGCAATGTGGCTACGAATCGTGGATAACGCGCGTGGATATCTTTTTTAAACTTCATATTAAACAATGGTTCAATATTGCTTTGTGCCCCAGGGAGAATATTGTAACGAACAGAAAATTCTCTTTTACAACTTTCCGATAGAAAGCAAATTAAGAAAAGTAGATTTCGCAGTTTAAGATTGGAAAGAAGAAATAAGTCATTGGTGACTCATTAATTAAGACAAGTAAAAATTATTATAAATGGCATTTGTCAAACAGCGATATGCAAAATCCGTGGACAAAATACTATTATTTGAATACTGCAACGGTTCCGTAACAGCTAGTTTCTTTTAAAACGCATAATATGACACAGTACAGACGTGGCCAAACCGTGTCATATATATCAACAATATGCGACAGCCGCATTGGAATAGTTCTTAACATTACATATGCAATTAACATTACATATTTTAAACTTCTTTCCGCTTTATGGGCGCTAAGAGGGCCTTTTTAACAATTATGGGTTGGGCCAAGTCCATATTAAGGCGGGCCATATATAATTTTAATGTAATAATTATTAAATTATTATATCAAAATTAAGAAAATAACAATAGAATGTTATTAAAAACCAAAGCGTTTAGACTATTTTTTGGGACACCTTGTACTATAGTTATCATGGTTGTACAGTAAATATTACTGTAACTTTACTGGCACTACAAAATAATCAGCAAACTTACAAAAATATGACATATGTGTATAAAAATAAATTTGTTCTAATTAGAATTTTAGGCTTCGATATGTCTTAAAGTGAAAAACGTAACGACAACCGGATGGGTCCACTAATAGCCGAATCTATAAAACTATTGAATATTCTGGATAGTTGTTGCGGNTGTCTTCCGAAGCGTCCTGGCAATAGCTCCAAATGTATGTCAGTGCCCGCTGGCCAGAGGCGCTGTTAGATCGTGGGTGTGCAGATTTTCACAAAACCACAAAACAAATTTTTTGACATTAAATGTTTACGATGTATGTAACAACGTTATTATTACGCTAAATTCTTTTAATTTACATTTATTGTATCAATTATAAGGTCAATTTCACGTTATTAGTGTAGTACTATTGTTTTCTTTGTCAGCAAAAAAAGTAGGCAGCTGTTTTGTAAAATTTGAATGTGTTCTCAATATGAGACACATGGGGGTTCCTAAAATGAGATATCTCATATTAGGATACATGTGTATCCTAATATGAGATATCTAATTTCATATGTGAGGTGAAAGTATACGTATTAGTTTAACGGCAACTATTGATTTTTTATATATTTTAGATGGCCCCAATTAAAAGGAAAACCTGGGACCACCGTACCATGATACGAGCCGTGGATGCAGTACGGAGCAATCAAATGGCTTACTTAAAGGCATCAAAACAATTCGGTGTTCCTAAGAGTACCTTAGAAAGGCCGGATCCGGATGGGTCAAGGAATCCCCAGGAATCTTTCAGGGGGTGGTCCGTTCGGATACGTTGGTCCCCGTCCCTCACCACCCGGTCGCAACATTGTGGGCCTGATCGAACCCATAATGGGCCTGCTATAAGAGGTCCTCTTGGTGCCCAGAAGGCGGGGCGAAAAGAGTACAAAAAAAGGGTACCCTAGAGTTCTACGTTAAGAAAGATGCCCATGCTGAAGTACTCGTAAAAGTTCGTATGGGGAGACGTCCAGCTTTGAGATCTGTACGCAATCTATATTTGTTGATTTTTGATATTGTTTCAAAAATGCCATTATGAAAATCGCTGTGATTATATTTTGAGGCTGACATAGATTAAATCTATTTTTGTTCTTTGATTAATAATTAACAATAATTGAGATCTTCGTTATTTTAAAGATTGATGTTAGTCTACATTTAATTAATAAGCGCAAATTAAAAGTGTGATTTTAATTGGGTATGTTTTGATTTTCCATTTGTTATTTATACTATAAACCTAAAGGAACCTAATATGAGATACTGTCTCATATTAGCAACCCGTAGTATCTCATAATAGGAGACCATTTACCTAAGACGTGATTTCGGACTTTTTTAACTTTATCTNATTGAGGCGGGCCATATATAATTTTAATGTAATAATTATTAAATTATTATATCAAAATTAAGAAAATAACAATAGAATGTTATTAAAAACCAAAGCGTTTAGACTATTTTTTGGGACACCTTGTACTATAGTTATCATGGTTGTACAGTAAATATTACTGTAACTTTACTGGCACTACAAAATAATCAGCAAACTTACAAAAATATGACATATGTGTATAAAAATAAATTTGTTCTAATTAGAATTTTAGGCTTCGATATGTCTTAAAGTGAAAAACGTAACGACAACCGGATGGGTCCACTAATAGCCGAATCTATAAAACTATTGAATATTCTGGATAGTTGTTGCGGGTTGTCACTCGACCAACGGGTGAAAACCGGCACGAGCAACGCGGTTTTCTTCAGTACCAAATATGTAAATAGTGCAAATTACTCGTGGAAAGGTTGGCAAATTGTCCATATGTTGCGTTGACGCAGGCGTTACAGACGTGGAGAAAACCCGGAAAACTCCACGTGGCCAGACCGTCCGAGCGAGGCACGAACCCACGACCGAACTCCCAGTGTTCAGGGTACTGGGTACCGCTTGGCCACTGGTGTGCTACGTCTTAAAGAACACACATATAACACGGGCAGTATTGAATGGCTTTGTCTAGAATGGCGCAAAGCCAAGGATTTGTAGTAGAACGGGAGGAAGCTAGAATATTAATTAAAACGGGAGGAAGCTAGAATATTAATTAAAACGGGAGGAAGCTAGAAAATTAATTAATTAAATTAAGTACACTAGCGATGAATTTGGAAAAAGTTGACATTTATAAAAGTAACTTTTTGGGCAGATTATGAACTATAATGATGGAAGTATGGCCCACAGCACGGAAGTATATGGTCGAAAAGAACTTATTAGAGAATAGTACATTGTGCCCATACAATTAAAAAAACTTATATTGTATATGTAATTTTTCTTTTTCCTTTTTTTTTGTTATTTTAGATTACATTGTATATATTTTTTAAATCGTATGTATATTACTGTATTTTTAGATTAATAATTTTACATTAGTAATTTACGATACACGCGAGCAATTTTATTACAATACACACAATAAGTTGTGCGATGGGAACAAATCAAAATTTCCAATTCATCCGTGGAGAAGAAACAAAATCTTAAACCGTTCGACCAATGAAATCAGTCGTTTCGAAAAATCAAAATGGAAGTCGGCGGGAAAGATTTACAAAATGGTATTATATTATATTAATATTTACATTAATTAAACCTATTTAAATTCGTTTATTTTAAATATATAAGATTAGAAATTTTATCAAATCGTACGTTTAGTAGAAAACGTGCGCGATTATCGCTTACGTTATATTCGCGGCTTAACTTCACTTCCCTCGGTTGATTTTAAAGCGTCGTGCTGTCGAATGGAGAATATTTCGCTTAAATATTAAAAAAAAAGCATTAAAAATGTGGTTTATATCGTGCGCAAACGCACGATTGTTGACAAACGCCTACTTTTCACCCCCATTTGTCTGATTGATGGACTGTTTAAAGCCTTCAAACTCTTCTATATGTATTGAGCCTTTACATATGCTCATTCATTTTCTACGTATCATCGGCAGAGAATTAGTGTGCTTTTGATAAAGAGCTGCGATAGAAATAAGATGTGTATGTGTATACATGTCAATGATGATAGTAAAGAGAATGGTTATAGTGTAGAAATAAACTCCAGAGCAAATGGGTAGATACTGGTAGAATAAAGGGGATGAAGACCCAGGACTACATGGCAAATGGGTAGAGATGGGCAAACTAAACGGTGCAAAAAATCCATTGGCGTGGAGGCAGTTTTTCCGATCCGTACGGTCGAAATCGCTCGAAGCGTACGTGCCCTCGCTGCTCAAACAATGCTAAATAATGCATTATTATTAAATATATAAATGCTTCTTTTAAATACCATTTATCCATATGTGTATTAAAGTTCTTATTTATGAGTTTTTTGTATTGTTTCCGCTTTACCTTGTTTTTTAACATCGGGCGACAGCCTCCGTAAAAATAAAAACGGTGGCCTACTGCCGTTATCTGTCAGAAATACGATACGCTTAACATTCTTCCAATATTCTTTAAGTAATTATAATGAGAATATATAAAGCATTATGTCGTATGAATTTGATGAATCGGTTGTAAATGTCAAATTTATTTGAAATTGAACGTGCAAATAAGCTCGGTATGTTGGTCGATACAGTTTTTAGTGATATTTATTATTAAAAATGTACGTAAATTTATATAATGGATAATCCTATCTAATCTGTGTTTTAATAGAAAATCTGTTAATCTTTTTATATATATAAACGTGTTATCTTAAAAGATATGTTTATGACTGTTCTGAAACATCTTCTGACCTGTTTACAAATGTGCTTTTGAACACTTAAATAAGTGTGCACTATTTGGAGTATTGATAATTACTGGTTATAATGAGATTTTCCAGTAAGAAATTCTTTCCGTACGATTTATATTTTGAAGTTAAGCTAATGCTTGTTGGGCTGCAATCTGAAAAAATTGTAGACCTATAAATTTAACCCTCGTAAAATGTATTATTATTAATATTTTAATATGTATGTTTTAATTTAAAGGAAAATAACTTCTTATCAGATTATTTATCAGTAAATGATACATACAGATCCTATATTAATAAATTAAAAATTTGCATTAATAATTGAAGAAACATCTATAATTGGAAGATATTTATAACATGTAGCATGTTTTATTTGATAAAGTTTTATATACATATTATATATAATATATAAATTATATAGGCCTAGTTTTATAGCAGTATAGCAAAACTTATGTGCCACATCAATGATCATAGATTGCTTGAGTACAAAGTTAAAGAGTCAAATTGACTGAGTGTTTCAAAACTAAGTTAAATCTTTAAGAAAATTACCTTGACTAAAATTTTATGTTGCAAAAATAATCAATTTTTTAAACGTCCTAAAGAAAGAGTATTTTACTATTAATCATATTTAGACTTTCTTGCTTTATTGAACATTTTTTAAAATTTGTATAGCATGCTGTATGTATATTGATGTTTTGTTTGTTTGCAAGATTTTATGGAGAACATGCAAAAAGTACAAAAATTGTTAATGATTTTTATTTTCTAGTTTATACATTTTTTTTCCATATTTTCAAATATTTTTATTGACTTTTTAAACAAATATTCAGAAATGATATCATTCATATTAAGTGACATTACTGTACTGTAGTTTTTATTTTTTAGACTATATCTTTGACTAATAAATTTAGATTTTGGTACTAATACTGTTTAGTTGGCATTTGGATATTAAATGCTCTTGTCAATCAGTTTGATCCATGGTATGAGCCTTGATTCACTAGAAAAACAAACAACCTTTTAAAAAATGATGATTTAAATACAGTAGAGTCTCTGTAATCTGACATATATCAGATGGCGGGTGTCGGATTACAACAGATTACTGGATTTTGTATGTATGTGTGAGTACAGTAAAAAATGTACAGTATTAAGGGTATTACTTAATTCACAGGTTAGTTTATCATATTAATTATGATTGTGACTGTTTTGCTGCACATGCATTGTTGACCATATGTGCAACAAACAAGTAGCAACTGACAGTATACAAGTACTGTACATCCGCGTGTGTTTGCTGCATACAATGAGGGACCAAAAATTTTCGACCTAACTATTTTTTAGTTGTTATAGGTATAAAACAATGATGTCATTTTTCAGTATAGTCTCCTTGTAGTTCAACACACTTATTACATCTTGGAATTAGCATTTCAAATATCCTTCAAAAATATTTTGGCATATGGATATTATTACGCTTCATGTCGTAATGCTAAAATTTTAATGTTTCTTTTATTTATTGGTTTAATTTGGCAACACTTAATCCTTCCATCGTTCTCTTTAGCACGCTCCACTATAAAAGTTAAGTGCTTATGTTAGGACTTGTCAGATGTGCAAGTGCATGTTCTGTTCAATCCATTTATTGCACATATACAATACATGCATGCGCAAAAGGAAACTGAACATTTTTGTTTACAGTCACGGTAAGTTATAGTAAAAACTACCAGTTCCTCTGGAATCTATAAATCACATCCCTTACTGTATATTCAGTGAAAATTTCTTCTGAACAACTACTTGATTCCAAGAATTTATAAAATTTATTTTAAACAAAATTAATATTTGATTTGCTTTTGTGGAGTGTGCTATCATATTGGCTTGACTAAACTTGTTTTATGAAGCAATACATTGTAACAGTTGTTAAAATAAAAGTTTCTCAATGTCTTTTTTGTCTTTACTGCACAAGTGTGAACTTCTTATCACTCAGGTTATGGGCCCAGCCAAGCACTAAAGTGAATAAACTTAAACCCTTTCTTTTCAAATATTCCATTTTGAAACTGAAATACACATGTGAACTAAGCCTAACGCATTGGCGATGGGTAAAAATGACTCAATATGACTGACAGTGCTGCTAATGAGAGACACAGCATCACAATGACAACAATTATCAACTATGGAAATTCAAGATGCAGATGATTTGCATGCATGATGCAGTATGGAAAAATGTGAGTCAACCAAAACCAGAAGCTGTAGAATTGATAACAGACTGGGAAAGGTGGAAACCAAAGCTATAGCTGCAATTGGCAAACCTATTGAAGAGAGCTAGCTTGTACACTTCATGCAACTTGCATTCACACATGAAATGTGGCTGAAACTGCAAAGTCTTCATGAGCATTCATCCATGTGCAGCAAATTATATCTTATTTGCAAGCTGTACTTTATCCCCTGTATTCACCAACATGAGTTAAACAGAGTCGACAAACTCCAGTTTAGAAGTAACTTGAAGTCAAATTTCAGATTACTCTTTTTATTGTATTCAGATAAAAATATAACTAGAGTTTCACTACTCTAGAGTTAATGTTTTAAAACAATCCTGTGTTCGACATTAAATAAGTCTTTTGTAAGCAGCGTCTTGATTGGTTGAAAGCAAATACGTGTAGAAAATGGTAGAACGACAAATGGAGAGCAATGTATGCTGTAATTTTACTAATTTTGAGAAGAAAATACTGTTTGAGTTAGTAGAAAAATATAAGTGTGTAATAGAGAATAAGAAAACAAACACTATTTCTTCTAAACAGAAGAGAGATAACCGGAAATTACTAAGCAAACAGTACAATGGTATCTCAGATGTCAAGCTAGTGTTGCCACCTTTTCAAAATCACTGACCGGACAGCAAGTGAGATTTGTTCGAACAAAAGTTCCTGATGCATGCACAATGTCATTTTGCAATGTGAAGAATAACATGCAGTACATGCTGGTTCTAAATCAGTTACAATTAGGGAATTCGATCCCGGTCCTTATTTCTAGTCCCCGGGATTTCGGGATTATACTTATTCGATCCCGGGATCCCGGGATTATTTCGGTATTGAGGGTTAATAAAAAATAAGAAAATCTTACAGAAATTAAAAATCAAAATTTAGACAAAAATCAACGTATTTTACGGTATACACCTAGTTAATTTAATCACTCTAATTAATCAGACTTACAGTCAGACTAACCAGACTTAAAATCACTGTCTTCATGTTAAATTTATTCTTTTTTAAGCATCACTGAGATCTCTTTAAACTCACATAAATTGAAAAAACTTTTATGTAACAAACTATGCAAATAAACGTTGAAAATTCACAAAAATCTCTCTTAACATCGACTAAATAGACTACTTTCATATAACAACCTAGTAAGTAGGTAGTAAAGTAAGTTTCTTAGGAAAAAGTATTTAAAAATAATATTAATCAGTCACATTTTTCTTAAATATAAAGAAAACTAATTTAATAGGAACATTCTAATTTGAATTGCGAAAATATGATCTGAGAAATAACAACGCATCTAGTGTCTCATCACCAAGTCTGCTTCTCAATTTGTTGCACATATATGCAGCTGCAGAGAAAACGCGTTTAGGTTGATGGAAGTTGGAGGAATCGTTAGTAAATACTTATAAGCTTCGAGGACACGGGGAGGATGGAAGAAAACAGTCCGGTCGACACGGATCGGGATTGTAGGAGTAAAGGCTATAATCCCGATTGTTTCGATCATTGTAAGCATGTTTTTCAAAAAATAAACGCGTTAATTTTGTAAATTCGGTCTCTGTGTGAGTCTCTCAGCGTTCAGCAAACCACTACCCCGAAACGTAAAAAGACTTTCTCGCAT